GGGTCGGATTTTTGTTTTGTTTTCGTTCGTATTTTTGGGGGGGGGTTTGCATATTACCCTCTTGTAACACTTGTAATCTTCGGCACTTACATGACATGTTAGTGCTGTAAAATTTTTCCTAAAACTAAAACTAAAGCATAAAATAACCGAGGTCCAACTGTGCACACATCCGAGAGTAGATCAACTGACCACAGTGAACAGACGAAAATTAAAATGGTATGGGCATGTCACAAGATCTACAGGACTTGCCAAAACAATCCTACAACGAAAGAGAAAGAGAGGAAGGCAGAGAAGGGGATGGGAGGACAACATCACAGAGTGGACAGGAAAGACGATGGGTGACAATCTGAGGGAAGTAGAGGACAAAGAGAAATGGCGAGAGATGGTTTTCAGAAGCAGCGGTGCCCCCACGGTTGCCCCAAACCACGGGATAGAATAGACGAAGAAGGTAAAACTAGACCCATCCAAATTCCCCTGCTAAACTTACGGGCTTTAGTTTTACGGCGCTCGCAACTGCATACGGTCATATGAGCGCCAGGAGATAAGAGGTGTCACAAGCGAGTAACAAACACAAAAAACGGAGGTGAGATAAGGACGACAGATGTTTGATAGGAAAGAAGGAGCAAACCACACCAGAGCACCCGCCATCCACCCACTGGGCTTTAGTTCAATGTTAGTGTGTGTTTTACGGTACTCGCGGCACGAATGGGTTATATATAATAAGTGCCGAAGATTACGGGTGTTACTAGAGAGTAACAAACACAAAAAGGAGGTGAGATAAAGACGACAGATGTTTGATAGGAAAGAAGCAGCAAACCACACCAGAGCACCCGCCAACCACCCACACAGAAACAGATGTTTAAAATCATACGTACAAACGCCCACAACGAGAAAAACAAAAATAAAATACAAGCCACCGATTGTGTTAAATTTAAAGTTCAGTTTGTGACAAAATCGTTAACCGTGAACAACCAACACGAGTCCCGCGCGCTCGCAGTTATGGCCGAATGCAGTTGCAAGCGCCGTAAAACTACATGTGTATTATCAAATTGAAACTAAAATGTCAGAAGAATTGACAGATGACGGATAAAACTATTGAATGCATGCCTATGCCCCCCCTCCACCCCCCCCCCCCACCCCACCCCCCTTTTCAAAATCTACAAGATTCAGCGACCGTTATAAATAATTATAACATCCACAAGATTAACGATTACTTTACGGACTGAGATAGGTTTTGTTGCTGGTGAGCCAACTGCTGTTAAATAATAATGATATTGATAACAATAACGAAAATAGTAATAATAATAATAATAATAATATTAACAACAACAACAACAACAACAATAATAATAATAATAATAATGATAAATAATGATGATAATAATAACAAGAAGAAGAAATAATAATAATAATAATAATAATAATATTAATAATATTAAGAAGAAGAAGAAGAAGAAGAAGAAGAGTTGGACATACGCATTACAACCAAAGAGATATCCCAGTATAAAATTACATGACAGGTGTAAAGGAAGAACATTTTAAGCTGACATTATATATAATATTTCTCTGACGAAAAGAACAAAGTTGCTGCTGTTCACGCCGCCAGTACTGTTGAAGTAACAACGACAGTCGGCTAGAATATGGGTCACTTTCAACCCTCTCCGTACGCCCTGGGGTGATTTTGTACCCCGGGGTTGTATTCTTCACATTTTAGAATACTTCTATTACGAAGATCTCTTTGAAACTTTCAGTATTTCTTTTTAAAAAATGATTTTGACAGACTGCTAGGAAAAGCGTACGGATCGGATTAACGAGTAAATTTCCTCTTTGGATAGTGGTGGCACAGAGTTCCCCACGTCGGATGGATACGATAGGAAAACGCGACGTACGGATAGGGTTAAGCACAAGGGGGCTATCCCGAAAAATGCAGTTTTGAGAAAATCGAAGGTAAAGTTTTTGCCCCTTGTTCAGTTTCTTTAAAAGACAAGGAGAATTTTCTCTATAACCAAACAAATATACACACCAATGAAACCAAACTTCTCCTATAGGTAGGACAATGCCCACTTGTGCAGTTGCGAGCGCCGTAAAACCTCTACTAAACTAAACTAAATGCCCACTTTTGGTGTAGATCAAGATTTCTGGAAACCTCCAAAACCTGGGCTAGCCTGCGTGTCCTTAAGAGCGAAATATACCTGGGAGTAATCAGTGCAGTCCAGCCCGTAATGCAGGTATTGGTGGGGCCATAGACCTTGACGGGACTCACTACTTAGTCACACTCAGGGCAGCGCCGGGGAAGAGCGAAAAACTGACGTCATCGTTACTTTTTTGACAGTTTGCGTTCTATACTATTATCATCATTTATTGTTTTACCAAACATATGATTATGATTATTATCTATGTCATCATTTTTATTTTTGTTACTGTCATTATCATTATTATTGTTATTATTATGTTTACTATTATATCTATTATTATATTATTTTTATTATTATATCTATTACTTTGATCCTATTGTTATTATCATAATTATAACTATTACTATTATTACTACTATTGTTATTATATTATTATTATTACTATTATTATTATTATTTCCAATGTTTCAGTAATTACAATTATTATCTTCAAAGGCTGAAGTGTTTTGTGGATATTTCAATTCTTTGTCTTCTTTAAAAAGTAATCCATGTTTTAGCAGTCTCCATATGAACACAATTTAATTAACCTAATATATACAAACACAGTAACTATGCCCAAAATCTTTCAATACAGAATTACTTTTTGGTTTTATGTATTAATATTTTACAATATATTTATTACATCAAGATTTCCATATTACAGGCAGAATGTTCACCTGATTTCATCTCTTTTAGTTTTCTTAAAACAACAGCAAAATCCCCAAACAATACAACAGACTTAACCCTAACTCTTAACTGTCACTTCAAACATTCCAAATTCAAAGCAAATGAAAGAAAAGCTCAGTTTTTCTCCAATGTTCTGAGAGGCAATCGTGTGGATTAATGAACTAGAAATTAGTGAAGCATAAAAAGTAATTTTAGAATAAAGGGATTTTGTCTGTGTATGTTTTATGGTCTATTGAATAAGGAATAGAAAGTGAAACAGACTGGCCCCTTGGCTCCGACAAACGAACAACTTGACGGCTCAAGTGATCACGAGTACCCGAAAAAGCGTGCAAAGTGTCAAGAGAAATGGCAGCTGAAAACTTAAAATTTACACGTACACGGAATCCAACATCCCTTCAAATTTTGAGCGAACATTAAAATCACCACTAGCAGAAGGCGTCTTTTTTAGCTTTTATCTCAAATCGTTAAAAAAGTCCAAAGACAAGCTGCTCTCAGGTTCTATGAAGAGCAGGTAACAAACAGCATTACCAAATGTCCATCACAGCACAAAGACAGAACTCAACCCAGAATCACAGCACAAAGACAGAACTCAACCCAGAATCACAGCACAAAGATAGCACTCACCCCAGAATCACAGCAAAAGATTTGTGCACGTTAAGATTTTATAAATATAGAAAAAAAAATTAACAAACTTCTTTGACGTTTAGTAGAGAAAAGTGTGTAATAATCTTGAAAAATGATCATGTTTCATTTTATACAGAGATCTCTTTCTTCAAGAACCAAGAGAACTAAAAATAAAAATCTAAAGAACCGAAAAATAAAGCTTTATAATTTTGATTGGACAAAGGCCTGCAGAATGTCACATATATACATAATGTTCATTTTTCCCCAATAATGTTATTTTTACAGAACTTCAAACGAAGCAAGATGGCAATAGAAACGTTATTTTGTCAAAGAGCACCAGAGTGAGTGTTAATGTCATGTGAAGGACACGGTGTCCAACAACTTTTAAAATCAGACTGTTGATGCTTTGGATTTGCTAAAAATTATAACAAAATTATAACGATTTCATTATTTATATATATTTAGAATATGATGCTCTCAGGGTCGCAATCACTTTGAATAATCTTGGCACATATGTGCAAGATGTACATCTGGGGTTAAGACAGTACATTTGCTCACAGAAATACAAATGTATAATACATAATATGACAATGTTATAATACATAATATGACTTCGCTCAGAAGACAGGAAAGCGCAGGAGGGGGAGTGAGGAATGGGCGTCAGGTGATTGAACAAGAAAAAAAATCGCATAGTCTTTAAACGATGAGATCCCAAGAAAACCGAAGAAGAAACTGCCAAACAAAAAATGACTTTCTCCTGGTATAAATACATTTTGGACATACATAAGTGATAAGTATTAGTTCTGGGTGGCTTCAAAACAACAACAAAACATGCTCAGTTTCACAAGCAAATTGGAAACTTTTGGCATTTTATCCTGAAGAACAAACAGAGAAAAACTACAAAACCAAGGAAATGGTTGACTTACTTCTCAAAGATCTGCCCTCGGAGTCTGGCGTTCCTCTCTCATACGCATCCCCGCTGTCCGACAGCGGCTCTGAGATGGTGTCGTAACCGGCCGAGCTGATGCTGGAAGGTCGCTCTTCCTTGATGCCTGGCGATGACTCCCTCTCCTCCGACTTGTCACACTCCTCGCGATAGATGCCATCAGACGACGGAGCTCCTTGGGTCTCCGAGGAGGAAGAAGCACCAGACGTCTCATCAGACTTGATCTTCTTCGCCGGCGAGAACGCGGAATGGTAGGACCCCTCACCCCCGTCCACGCCAGGCCCCAGAGGGCGGAAGGCCCCAGGCCGGACCCCCGGACTCATCAAGGCCAGACGGCGGTCAAGACCTGGTCTCACAAAGGACAGAGGGGAGTAGAGGGGCGAGGAGAAGGGGTCTCCGGGCCGGTACATCGTGAAGCCTGCGGAGCTGAAGGGAGGAGGAGGAGGCAGATCCTTGTCCATTCCTTGCTGTCCGGGGAACGGATGAGGTGGCGCTGGCAGTCGGGGTGCTTCGTGTCCCTCAGCGGTGGAAGCTAGGACCATAAGAGCAGGGGAAGTAAGCGGGTTAGGCACAAAGGAAGGGTTGTCCATCCCTCCGGCGCCCGGAGCTGGTGCAAAGAAAGGTTTGGGCCAAAAATTGAAACGAAACATGGCGGCTAGTGAGCGTTGGAAATCCGTGCTCATTATTTAGATATTGTTAAACGAGTACCTGGCTCAAAGCGCTGGACAATTTTGTAACGTCGCCAGATACCAACCAAAGGTTAGCAAAACATAGATCCCCACTCAACACAGGTGTCATTTGCAGTCGCTCCCTTCATCTTCAACAAAGAGTAGAAATAATGCAGGATACTCGCGGCAAGATGGATCACAAATTGAAACTAATTTAGAAAAAAAAAACACGCACTCATTCAACTAATCAACTACACAGAACAATTTTTAAAATTGTTTTTTTGTTTGCGGAACAGTTTTTGTTGAAAACAGACTGACAACTTTACAGCCTATGGAACCTAGATTCTATTTTGTCTGTAGGCTACCCATTGAAAGGCAGAATAGAATTCAAACTAAGCTATTGATTTGACTGTCTAATTAATCTTTTTTTTTTTGGGGGGGGGGGGGCAGCTGGGATTCTGAACAGGGAACCTGTATTTCTTTTAAAATAAACACTAATTAGTGAGTATGTCATACATAACATATTATTCTTTTAACTTTCTGCTTTACAACTTGAGTATCTAAAAAATGACAGCCGCCTACCAGACACTAACTGTTCTACGAACGAAGCTGAGACCATCAACACTGCACGCACCTCGGCCAGCATAGAAAACAATTACTTGTAACTCTTTCATGTATTTCTTCCTCAAGAAATCTGATACGAAAAAAAAAAAAACATTTTCCTCTATTCTTTGGTAAAATTTCACATTTTAGGCTTTTTTTTCACATTATGGGTTAACATCATATAAATCAATGCTTGTTCAATAATTAATTCACCTTATTAATTAGGCCTATTTTTTATTTTATTTTTTGTTCTGGGTTTTTTTGTTTTTTAATACTTGATATTACTCATCATTTTTAAAAACAAAGTTTCTAACCTTCAATGGTTCTAGGAGAGGCACCGAAGTAAGGGCACTCCAGAAAATTCAACATAATTTTATTATTTCACAGCTGAAAAAAAGTCTGCCAAAGTTTTTTTTGCGATCAGTTTAAGTAAGCGCGGTTTGGTTGTGTTTTCTTTCTCAGCCGAACAGGCGTAAGAGTTCAAATTTTGCTACTCCTAGTTTTTGTTAAACCCGAAAATTACTACAGAAGAAATAAACCCGTAGGCTAGCAGTCGATGTTCCACACACGATAAAATACAAATGAAACTCAGGCACAACGAAGTTCCTTCCACGATAATAGGAATATTATAAGACAGAAAGTTCCCAGAAGAAAATTTTCCACTGTAATCACACAGTCAATTTACTTGAAGTTTCGACAAAGGGGTGCTACTGTTAGAACTACGTGAGCGCTTTCTCTTGAAAATGTCCGCGGCCTGCACCAAATTCGCCGAACAATGGGGAAAAGAGAACCGCTAAAACAAGTCCTCTATCGAGATCATTATTATTCCAAGAGTAAAGCTTGTTCAACTTGTGTTGGGCTTTAGTTACATTTTCTGCGCGTCCCTTTCGGCTGGTTTGCTAGCACGTTGACACCTTGCAGGGCAGTGACAAGGCGAGGACACGCCCCCTAAACGTCCCCGCCCTCCGTATTTGGGAGAGGGCTGCCTCCCTCTGCGGAAGACCGTTTCACTTAAACAGGAGAAAGCGGGGTCGAAGGGGGAAAATAGCCGCGAAAAATCTGCGGCAAACAAATCGATCTACACCCCATCCACCCGTACGCGACTGGAAATGACACCTGTGAATAAATCTTATATCATTAGCATTCTTATTGCACACCCTTCGACTCAGAAAACCGACATAGAAGCCTTGTATGCATACCGATTTCGAATCGACAAGCTTGTAAACAAACCAAAGGTCTCGTAGAGTCGGGCCCGGGAGGAAGTGGGCTAGAAAGAAGGTTAGTGACATTGTAAGGGCTCTGAGAGAAGAAATACAGGATAACACGGCATCCTGGATAAATTCCCTATCTAATATTACTTATAAAATCGATGCATATAGATCGATGACAAGAATTTTCGACAGATAGTAAAGTCAATACTCACTGTGTACTTCCACGATTTGGGAAGGGGAATCCTTCTGTTACAGCCTCGTTTCCGGTTAGGTTTCCCTGAGTGGTGTATCATGGGATGGAGCTGTTTTTCGCGGCCAGTGATTGGCTTCATGTAGGTCATTGTGTTCTAATAATAAACCCTCTTGTGTTTTAGGTCGCTGGTATTTTTCGTTCATTTTTGCCGTTGGATTTTTGTTTTGACTCACATCGACAGCAGACTAAATTTATTTAAACTAAAACAGAAAAAAATACAACCTAAAAAGATGAGATCTTCAGATTTTTCTGCAGTGGCTATCAGTATCAGATTCAATGAGATCGACTGCTATTATTTCCAAGGGGGTGGGGCCTATTTCAGCTGGGGAGAAGTCTTGAATGTAGTGGGAGGGCGGTAGCCAAAACGTTTGACAGTCCTTTTTACAGCTAGAGGGCCCTGGAGAGCCATGAGGTGGCCAGAACACTGCGGTCCAACAGGGCTAAGTTACGTAGATCTATAATATCTATCTGTTCCTCTTTGATACTCGACCAAGAGAAAAATAACGATCAAGCAGCTGAATGATCACAAGTAGATCTAGCAGGGTTTTTTTGTGTTTGTTTTTTTTTTTTTGGGGGGGGCGGCAAATTATTAGGTTGTGTCTACTGTATAAGTAGGTTAGTAGATCTAGTAGTAGTAGTAGTAGTAGTAGTAGTAGTAGTAGTAGTAGTAGTAGTAGTGGTG